AACTCAAAAAAAATTTTAAAAAAACTCAATAAGAAAACAACTGGATAAAAAAAATGGGGCAAAAACCTTAATAGACACTAAGATATACAGATGGTAAATAAGCATATGAAAAGGTGCTCCACGTCATATGTCATCATGAAATACAAATTGGAACAACAATGACATACTACCACACATCTATCAGAATGGCCAAAATCCAGAACACTGACAACATCAAATCCTAACAAAGATGTGTAATAGGCACTCTTCATTCATTTCTGGTAGGAATGCATAATGGTACAGCCACTTTGGAAAACAGTCCAACCGTTTCTTATGAAATTAAATGTACTCTTACTATAAGATCCAGGAATTGCACTTCTTCGTATTTGTCCAAAGGAGTTGAAAACTTATGTCCACCCAAAAACCTGCACATGATATTTACAGCAGCTTTATTCGTTACTGCCAAAGTATGGAAGCAACCAAGATGTCTTTAGGTTGGTGAAAGTATGAATGAATTATGGTATATCCAGACAATAGAATATTATTCAGTGTCAAAAAGAATGAGGTATCAAGGGATCCCTGGGTGGCGCAGCGGTTTGGCGCCTGCCTTTGGCCCAGGGCGCGATCCTGGAGACCCGGGATCGAATCCCACATCGGGCTCCCGGTGCATGGAGCCCGCTTCTCCCTCTGCCTATGTCTCTGCGCCTCTCTCTCTCTCTCTCTCTGTGACTATCATAAATAAATAAAAATTTTAAAAAAAAGCTATAAAAAAAAAAAGAATGAGGTATCAAGCCATGAAAAGACATGGAGGAAACTTAAATACATATTACTAAGTGAAAGAAGTCGATCTGAAAAGGCTATGGTTGCAATTATGTCATTCTGGAAAAAAACAAAACTGTGGAGACAGTGAAAGGATGAGTGGTTTCTAGGAGTTGGGATTGAGGGAGGGGTGAATAGGTAGAGCACAGAGGATTTTTAGGTCATTGAAAACATTTAGACAATTTGCCAACTTGCCCCAGTCACCAGGCTTCTCCTCCAGCAACACACAATGATGCCTTCAGGTATCCTGGAGCACATTGCCTATGTTAAGCTGGTTCTTCTTACCACAGTACAGGAATTGGCCAGTGTGGATGCCCTTGGTGGCAATGAATAGCTCCCTCCACTTCTTAAATCAGCGTGAATCCCAGAAGACTACCTCTGTGAGGGGCACACCCCGACCTGGGTCATGGATGATGTTCTTCATGATGCCCTTGATGTAGCTCTACTGCTCTGTGAAGTCTACAGTGCGAAGATGGGCAGCGCCTTGCTGTCCTTCACATGGGTGTGGGACACTGAGCTGGCACCCTTTCTCTACCTCAGAATTATGTAGCTCATGGTGGTAGTCTACTGCCAAGTGCAGTTGGAAGAGCTCTAGTAAATTCTGAAATCAGGTAGTCTCAGTCCTTTGACTTTCTTCTTCTGCTTCATTATTGTGTCAGCTATCTGGATTTCTTGTCTCTCTATATAAATTTTAGAATCAGTCTGCCAATATCCATAAAATAATTTGCTGGGAATCTGACTGGAGTTGCATTGAATCTATAGATCTAGTTGGATGAAACTGATACCATCATAATATTGAGTCTTACTATCCATGAACATGAAAATGTATCTTCATTTATTTAATTCTTTGGTTTTGTTCATCAGAGTTTAGTAATTTTCCACATAAAAATCTTGTACACATTTTGTTAGATTTACACCAAAGTATTTCATTCTTTGGGTGCTAAAGTAAATGGCATTATGCTTTTAATTTCAAACTCCATTTGTTCATTGCTAATATATGGGAAGCAATTGACTTTCACATATTAATCTTGTGTTCTGCAACCTTGCTATAACCACTTACCCCAGTTTTTTTAATAATTCTTTCAACGTGGATGGAACTGGAGGGTATTATGCTGAGTGAAGTAAGTCAATCGGAGAAGGACAAACAGTGTATGTTCCCACTCATTTGGGGAATATGAATAATAGTGAAGGGGAATATAAGGGAAGGGAGAAGAAATGTGTGGGAGATATCAGAAAGGGACACAGAACATAAAGACTTCTAACTCTGGGAAATGAACTAGGGGTGGTGGAAGGGGAGGATGGCGGGGGGTGGGGGTGAATGGGTGACGGGCACGGAGGGGGACACTTGACGGGATGAGCACTGGGTGTTATTCTGTATGTTGGTAAATTGAACACCAGTAAAAATTAATTTATAAAAAAAAAATAAAATAAAAATAAAAATAATTCTTTCAAATTTTCTACACAGATGATCATGTCATCTATAAAGACAGTTTTATTTCTTCCTTCCTAATCTGTGTATCTTTTTTTCCTTTGCTTGTCTTATTGCATTAGCTAGAACTTTCAGTATGGTGTTAAAAGGAGTGGTAGGAGGATACATCCTCTCTTCGTACTTGATTTTAGTGGGAAAACTTCCGGTTTTTCATTGCTAAGTATGACACGAACTGTTGATTTTTTGTAGATATCCTTTATCGAGTCGAGGAAGTTCCCGTCTCTTCCTAGGTTGCTGAGTGTTTTTATCATGAAAAAGTGTTATATTTTGTCAAAGGCTTTTTCTGTATCCACCGATGTGATCATTCATTTTTTCTTTTCTAGCCTCTTGATGTGATAGATTACATTAGTTGGTTTTTGAATGTTGAATCAGCCTTGCATACCTGGGATTGATCCCACTTGGTTATGGTGTATATATGTGGTCTTTTTTGTTTTTTTTTTTCTTTAGCTTTGTTTTACTATACATAATGTGATCTATTTCTCTAGTTGCTCTTAAAGTTTGCTTTTTGATATTGGTTCTCAACATTTTATTTTATTTTATCTTATCTTATTTTAGAGAGAGAGAAAGAACATGAGCAGGTAGGAGAGGGAGAGAGGCTTTTAGGCAGACTCTGCTGATTATGGAGCCCAACATGGGGCTCCATCTCACAACCCTGAGATCACAACCTGGGCTAATACCAAGAGTCAGATGATCAACTGACTGTGCCACCCAGGTGCCCCAGTTTTCAGCATTTTAATTATAATATGCCTTGATATTTTTTTCTTAATATTTATTTTACTTGACATTCATTGACTTTGTTATATCTGTAGGTCTATACATTTTCTCAAATTTGGAAAATTCTTTATCATTACTTCTCCAAATTTTATCTTCTGCTCCATTATCTTTTTTTCTATTTCTAGGTTCTCAAGGTCACTAATTTTTCATATGCAGCACCGAAGCTCCTATTAGACCTATCCTACAATTGTTTTATTTTATTTTTTTTAATTATGTATTTATTAGAGAGAGGGAGAACTCAAGCAGTGGAGAGGAACAGAGGGAGAAGGAGAAGCAGACTCCCTACTGAGCAGGGAGCCCAACTTGGGGCTCAATCCCAGGACCTCGAGATCATAACCTGAGCTGAAGGCAGATTCTTAACCAACTGAGCCACCCAGGTGACCTGCACATTTTTCATTTTAAATCTACAGTCGACTGGGCAGTCCCACTGGCTCAGCGGTTTACACTACCTTCCACCCAGGGCGTGATCTTGGAGACCAGGGATTGAGTCCCACGTCGGGTTCCTTGCATGGAGCCTGCTTCTCCCTCTGCCTGTGTCTCTGCCCCTCTCTCTGTGTCTCTCATGAATAAATAAATAAAATCTTAAAAAAAATCTACAGTTGACCATTGAACAATGCTGGGGGTAGAAGAGTATCAACGTCCTACACAGTTGAAAATCCACATATGACATTTGACTCCCAAGAAGCTTAACTATAATAGCCTACTGTTGACCAGAAGTCTTACCAATAACACAGTCAGGTAATACGTTTTGCATGTTATATGTATTTTATACTGAATTCTACAATAAAGTGGTTAGAGAAAAAATGTTATTAAGTAATTATAAGGAAGAGAAAACTCACTGAAAAAAAATCCACATATATGTGAATCCATGGAGTTCAAAATCTTGTTTTTCAAGGATCAGCTGTATTTTTTAAGGTTCAAAAGTTCCATTTGTTTTTATATCTTCCATTTCTGTCCTCATTGTGTTCATGCTTTTATTAAATTCTTAAAAATATTTATACTAGCTATGTTAAAGTTCCTGTCTGCTAGTTCCATTATCCCTGTCATTTCTAGCTCTGCTCCTGTTGACTGATCTTTTATTCATGGTTATGGTCACACATATTTTCTTACATACCTAGTAATTTTGATGCTGGACATTGTGGATATTATACTGTTAAGTGCTGGTTGCTTTTGTTTTTGAAATTTGTCTTAAAAATCAGATAAATTATAGCTCAGTCCCTTTAAGATTTTTTGTTTAAACTTTGTTAGGGCAAGTTTAGGAACTTTACTCTCAAACTAATTTAGCCTTGTTATTGAGGCATGACCCTTCTGATATTTCTATGAATTGCCCCAAGAGTTCAATGAGATGTCTCTAGTCTGGCTAGATGAAATTTGGTCATCTCTGCCCTATGTGAGCTACTGAATTTATTTTATAGCCCTCTTGTGACACATATTCTTTTCCTAGCTTCATAAAGAAATGCACTGATAAGTATTCACTCAAAGACTTTAGGGCCCCCCTATGCAGGTTCAAGAAGCTTTCTTTCTTGTTCTGCATAGCTTTTTCTTCTCTGTAACTCTGCTTTCAAATTCAAGATGCTTAAGCCCCTCAATCTCTATCGTCTCAAATCAGTTAAGTGTAATGTGCTTTCCTTGAGTTCCTCCTCCCTCTGCCATTGTTTAAAAACTGCCTCTAGAGATACAGCATTCATAGGTCTTATATTTTTCTAAGGGATCAGAGTCCTGGATGGCCTGTTGTCTCGATTCTGCAATTTTTTAGTTGTTTATGGGGGGAGGGCAAGTTCCATACCATGGCAAGTCCTGTCGTGTCCAGAGCACATGTCTAAAAGGTTTTGCTCTGTTAAATTTGAATAAATAGGTCCTTTCATCAATTAGTGTATCTTTTGCAAACTGTTTAATATTCTCAATATACCTTTAGATAAATATGCGCATAAAAGAAAGGATGGGTGTGGAAGCAGTGATGGCATTCTTGGTGGGGACCCCGGACACCCTGGCCTGCGTGGTGAGCCTCTCTGGTAACCAGGCTGTGCGCCTGCCCCTCATGGAGTGTGTGCAGGTGACCAAGGATGTGACCAAGGCCATGAACGCAGGAAATTCGATGAAGCCATGAAGCTGAGAGGCAGGAGCTTCATGAACAACTGGGAGGTGTACAAGCTTCTGGCTCACATCAGACCTCCCGTCTCGAAGACATCGGCTAGCATGCACACGGTGGCCGTGATGAACGTGGATGCCCCAGCCACAGGCATGAGTGTTGCCATCCGCTCCACCGTGAGAATTGGCCTCCTCCAGGGCAACCGGGTGCTGCTTGTGCATGATGCCTTCGAGGGCCTGGCCAAGGGTCAGAGCGAGGAGGCTGGCTGGAGCTATGTGGGGGGCTGGACTGGCCAAGGTGGTTCCAAACTTGAGACTAAGAGGACTCTGCCCAAGAAGAGCTTTGAGCAGATCATTGCCAACATCACTAAGTTTAACATTCAGGGCCTGATCATCATCGGGGGCTTTGAGGCTTACACTGGGGGCCTGGAGCTGATGGAGGGCAGGAAGCAGTTTGACGAGCTGTGCATCCCGTTAGTGCTCATCCCTGCTATGGTGTCCAACAACGTCCCTGGCTCGGACTTCAGCGTGGGCACTGACACAGCCCTCTACACTATCTGCACGACCTGTGACCGCATCAAGCAGTCAGCAGCAGACACCAAGGGGCGGGTGTTCATCATTGAAACTATGGGTGGCCACTGCAGCTACCAGGCCACCATGGCAGGCCTGGCCGCTGGGGCGGATGCTGCCTACATTTTTGAGGAGCCCTTCACCATTCGGGACCTGCAGGCGAATGTTGAACATCTGGTGAAAAAGATGAAAACAACTGTGAAGAGGGGCCTGGTGTTAAGGAATGAGAAGTGCAATGAGAACTATACCACGGACTTCATTTTCAACCTGTACTCTGAGGAGGGCAAGGGCATCTTCGACAGCAGGAAGGATGTGCTCGGCCACATGCAGCAGGGTGGGAGCCCAACTCCGTTTGACAGGAATCTAGCCACTAAAATGGGCACCAAGGCTATGAACTGGATGTCTGGGAAAATCAAAGAGAGTTACCGTGATGGGAGGATCTTTGCCAATACACCAGACTCGGGCTGTGTTCTGGGGATGCGTAAGAGGGCTCTGGTCTTTCAACCAGTGACTGAGCTGAAGGACCAGACAGATTTTGATCACCACATCCCCAAGGAACAGTGGTGGCTGAAGCTGAGGCCCATCCTCAAAATCCTAGCCAAGTACGAGATTGACTTGGACATCACAGAGCACGCCCACCTGGAGCACATCAGTCGGAAGCGATCTGGAGAAACTTCTATCCAACCCTCTTTGGAGTGAGGGTCATGGATTGTCTGATCATGGTCAGCTCACCCCCTGATAGATCCAAGTCCATGTATCCCCAAGTATTTTAGCTCATTTTTCTTTAGGTTTCCTTTTATTCTGCAACTGTAGCCATGACCAGCTCTGGCTGGGGCAGTGGGCAGTGAGTAGAGGCTCCTTTTAGGTGGAATTTATCAACTTCTACCCCAGCTTCATCTGTCACACAAGACTGGGCTCCTCTAGTGCTACTGCTAGATTTCAGTTACTCGGTTATTTATAAGCTTTATTTATTTATTTGTGATAACAAAGTCTTGGTTCCTCTATTACTTTTACTGCAGTGACAAACAATGGCTACACTAATAAATGCCAACTGGTCACTGTGAAAAAAAGAAAAGAAAAGAAGAAAAGAAAAGAAAAGAAAAGAAAAGAAAAGAAAAGAAAAGAAAAAAAGAAAGAAAGAAAGAAAGAAAGAAAGAAAGAAAGAAAGAAAGAAAGAAAGAAAGAAAGAAGCACTTAAAGATCTGTAGGAGTTCCTTACAATGGATCTAATATGGTTTTCCTGTCACAATCATGAATGCAAAAAGCAGGTCAAAACAATTTTTGTAACACTATCCTCTCTCGATTGCAAAGGAAAGTTATTGGCTGTCCTTACCTGGAGATTCAAAAACCCTGAACTCTAATCGCCTTTCTTAGTTACTGATTAGCTTTCTGTGTCTATTTTATCCGATAACAGGGACCGAAGGAACTAAAATTGATGGTTAAAGGTATATACACATAGGAAGATGGGAATTTCAGATATACTTAATATGGATTTAAGCCTTTAATATTTGCTTTCAACTAGGTCAGACAGGTAACCTAGAAGGTTGAAGGGACATAGTGGGGAATGAGGCAAATTGTGTAACACATGGCCCACCTGAAGAGTTCCGGTAGACTACTGACATGCGGGATGCAAAGCAAATGTTTTCAGCTCTTCTAATTATTTAAGAGAAGATAAAGATCTCAGAAATGTAAATATTTTGTATTAAATCCCCTAACATATAAATTTTGGAAATTAATTCAAAATTTAAAAATATTATTAAAAATAGTGGGATTTAACCTAGTAACCACCATTACACTCTACTGCTCTTCTTCCACTCCTGAAATTAAACATTTCAGACATCAACCATTAGGAACAAAACCAATGTATTATAGAGAAGGTTCAAAAGAGGTTGGGACCAACATGTAAATGATCACAAGATATCTATAACAAAAAGCTAGTACACTTTGTGAGAAAGGAATGTTCATAAGAGTTATCTTGACGTTACATTCCCAAGTCTTTTATAATATTCCCATGAAAATTGTTATTGAAATGGAGCCAACTGTGAGATTAATGGGGAAGAATAAAAAACTAACTTAAAAGAAAAAGGGAAAATCAGGTGGGATTAAGTGAAAATGGAGGAAAGCTCCTACAAGATGAAATATCCCAGTTGTTGAGGCATCATGCATTATAAAATAGTAAAATAAGTAACTGTAGAAAGTGTATAAGCTTTAGAAAGATAACATCAGTGCATGAATCAAAAGTGTGAGAGTAGAAGATAAGCTTCTCTATGGTGAGATATTTGCTATCATCACTTCACATGTCTAGGTGTAGAAATTCAACATGCAACAGGCTGCTTATTTTCTCTAAATACTCTGCAGTTAGAGTAAATCTAATCTAGAAGAGTAGCAGTAATTTTATGCATGGAAGTCAAGCTTCCAATTACCAGGTAACCAAAGAAACATTATCAGATTTTTTGTCTCCCTTAAGTATAAAAGTAACTATTTAGCAAAATGTTAATATAATGATATTAGAGAGTATTTGAAAGCTATATATAATAGCCAAAATTAAGATAAATTAAATGCTTAAATATACTTTAGCACTTACACATTAATTCTTAACTATGCTCAACTACCTGGTTTTATGCATGAATTGAGAGACCATTCCTTTCTAATTTCAGGTCATTATCTGGGAATTAAGGCCTTTCCAGGGCCAAGGTCATGAGCTCCAAGATTTCAATCTACTTTGAGAAATATTTTCAGCTCTTCTAATTATTCATGACTCTTTCTTTGATTCTCATTGTTTTTCATTTTCAAAAAAAATTATTTACCCTTGACTTTAAAAAAAAAAGATGTATTTATTCATTTATTTGAAAGAAAGAGAGAGTGTGTTCGAGTGGGGAGGCGCAGAGGGGCAAAGGGAGAGGGAGAGGGAGAATCTTGAGCAAACTAACTCCCTGCTGGCATGGAGCCCAATGCAGGGCTCAATCCTACAATCCTTTCCTGAGATCATGACCTAAGCCAAAATCAAGAATCAGACACTTAATTGACTGAGCCTCTCTGGCAGCACATACATTTGACTTTTAAAGATAATTAAAATGGTGGTTCTTTGACTCTTAGTTCTCCTACTTTAAAAGGAAAAGAAATAAAAATTTAAAAATCCTAGCAGTGTAATATAAGTTACTATGTTTAACCCAATTGTCTCCTCTTTCATTTAGTAGATTTAAGTTTCCTTACCCAATTTTCACTGCTCAAGACACTGGCCTACCTATATCCTGTCACTGGCCTTTTCTAGGCCTGTTTCATCTATTCAAGGAGGAATTTGAATTGAACTATCTCTGAGATTCAATAATTCAGTTAAATTCTATAAAATTGCAACCTAAGGCAAAATCTGATTTGGATTTCCAAAAATATCAGTTTACCCTAGAAATTGTTCTCTAAAAGGGCTTGTTACCTCTTCTAGAAAAAAAAAAAAAGAAGCACTTTCAAATAGGATTTATATATAAAATTTAATGTGGTTTTTAAAAAGATGTACAATGATAGCACCACAACAGCATGTTAAGAAAATTTCCAAATATACATAAAAATTACAGGGCAGAGTGTCACTGCCCAGTTAATGGACCTATAAGTCATTGCAAGCCTTTCCAGGATTCTGCTGTAGTCAAAAATACAAAAATATTAAACATCAACCCAAGAGGCAGGGTAAATAAAATTAAGAAGTAGTACCTTACTTTCATACAAAATTAAAAGTTATGCACAAAATTCTGGTCACCGCAGCATAAAAAAAGCAAGCCTTGGAGAAGAATATTTCAATAATAATGAAATGGCTAAATGGGATGGCTAAGGCCATAGTCTTTGAGGTTAAACTTTTTTAAAGGTAAGACTGTTTAGTTTTAGCGACAAAGGGTGAAGGGGATGCAATCAAAGTTAATATCATTTTAAATGGAATGGACAGCTTAAACATGAACTCATTAATCAAACCCTAGAACACTAGAGTACCAATTGAAATTGGAAAGAGGTTTTTATAGAGCAAATGAAGGAAGATAGCTAACATGGAAATTCTTACTTTCAAGAAATGAGACAAGCTGGGGAAAATTTGTGTGTGTGTGTGGTGTGTGTGTGTGTAATTTCAGTGCAATTTGAGATAAGTTGAGATTTAATTTAGTGAAAATGTACCTGTTATTGTGTCCAGAACAATACTGGATATGACAGAAATGTTTAAAACATGGACCTTCTCTTCAAGATTTATAATCCTCCTAAAAGAAGTGTGCATTCATGGATTAACAATTCAGAGTAGGCTGCTAAGAGACAGAGTTATGTTGGGGTATAAATTGAATCATTTAAACTTTTTTGATGGCATTGTTAGAGATAAAAATCCGAGAAGCAGACAATGCTTGACCCTATGATAGTGTTCGTTATGTCACACATTCTTCATGAAAACTATAAGAATATAAACTATAATCTTCTGTTCACCTATGACTCTGCATTTCATGAGTTGAAAAAATGCCCTACAAGAAAATAAACATTAGCAAGAACACAAAAAGTCATAAAAACTGAGGACATACCTAGGCCCTAAAGTGATATGCAGCAGAGCATAAGTGTGCACATACAGCCAATCTCCCCGGAGGCTAACACAGTAATGTTGGCTTGGGAAGGCAGTTAGTTTAGTGATGAAGAATATGGCTCATGGAGTCAGCCTGCCAGGTTTGGATCTTAGCTTCAGTATGGAAAAGCTACTAAGCCTTCATTAATCTCAATTTCCTCATCTGTAAAATGAGGATAGATATTGAGTCAACCTTATAGAGTAGCTGTAAAGATGAAATCAGATAAACCATGTAAAGAACTCAACACAATAGCAGGCACATGAAAAACATTCCTTAAAATACTAGCTATTTTGTTAGTGAACAACAGACACATGTAATATAAAAAGCAAAGAGTCTCAGCGATTCCTTTACTAGCTAGCTGAGTTTGTGGAGTCCCTTCATCTCTAAGGCAAGAGCATAAACTCCAGTGGGAAGCAGAATAAGAACATGGATGTAAAAATGCTTTGTAATATATAAAATGGTAAATGCATGTGGGTTCTTGCTATAGTCACAATTCCTGTGCACCCTTCTAAATAAGTTGGCTGCTTATATTTTTGTTTGCTTTTCGCAGACGTATCCCAGCATTTAGGAGAGTGATTGGCAATTGGCATATAGCAGTGGTCATTAAACATAATTGAATGAATAAATGAAGATCATGTCTCTATAATCCTGAAGTTCGTTTTGTTTGCCCTTTTATCTCTCTGAAATCAGTACATATGAGGAATCTGAAGGCCTGAGTAGTCACATAGACTACTGTGTGACTACTGCGTGGCTGTGGAACAAGCTATCACAAACAACACCTACTCGTGCACTCACGGTTCTATAAGACAGAAGTCTGGCTCAGCGTCTCCTGGGGTTGACATCAAGGTATCAGTCAAGCTATATTTTTCACTGGAGGCTCCACTGGGGAAGTTTTTCAAGCCCATTAGGGTTGTGGCAGATTCCAGTTCTTTGTGATTGCAGAACTAAGGTTCCCATGTCCTTGTCATCTGGCTATTCTCAACTCCTGGGGGCTGCCTATATTCCTTCTCATGTGGCCCCTCCATAAGCAATTCACAATATCTCATGGCCAGCAACAGGGTCCTCCTCACCGTGAATCCCCCACATGCTTTGAATCTGTCTTCTCCTGCTCATCTGCTA